CGGGCCCTCTGACCACCACCAGTAGGCAAACATGGGATTAGTATCTTGCCCAAGGACACAACGACTGAGACTGTCCAAGCCGGGGCTCGAACCGGCAACCTTCCGATTACAAGGCGAACTCCCAACTCTTGAGCCACGATCGCCCCCTTAAAACACAGTAAAACACAGTCTAGACTCTTTCACGGTTTGGGTCATTTCAGCCAATAGTGTTGGAGATCTTGACAAAATGGATGTAATTATGGATGCAGAAAAGTCCGATTTTGGTCGTACCAGAGTTACTTTTAAGCTTGCTATAGTTGTTTTTGCTTTTTACGCTGTAATTTATGCATGTTTGCTAATGTTTCAATGAATCACTACATCCATTTCCCACTTTCTAAGCACAATATGAAATAAGGGACACTTTTGCACAGTTCTGTATTTCTTAATGGGAGCTTAAACTATCCTACTAATGCCAGAAACAGCCTGTTATTAGTTGTGAAAAAGTTGGTCTAACGATTACAATAACTTTAATGTAATTAACTCTAAAAAAGGGGGGTGGGGGTGTCTTTGATTGCTAGTAAACTTTTACTTGATTATGCATATCTAGGTCAGAACATGTGATTACTGCTTCCACATCGAGTGAGAGGTGAGTTGGACAGTTTCCCTGCTTAAATACAGGGCAAAGTGAGTGGAGACGGAGAAAAAAGCAAGACAGCTTAATTGGCAGTTAGCCAAGCTGAACATGTCTGAAAAAATGAAAATGAGTGCCTTTGGACATTGTGCTTTTAGTTATGATGTGACATGTATCCCCCACCACATATGCTGACAGAGCAGGTGGTCAAGGTTATTCAAAATGAGACATGCTCTGCGCAGGGGTACGCACACACCCTATTCACACACACAAACACACATGCATGCACAAAGAACTGTGCAAAAAGATTAAAGTTGACCCTTTGTGCCTTACGAAGGGGTGCGGTTAGGCAAAGGGGCCAACCAAGACTAGGGAGCTGAAGGCATCAACTTTAACCTCATAAAGTGAGCCCGGCTACTCATTAGTTACTGTAACATCTGTTGTTCAGGGACGGTGACCCTGTGGTAATGACAGAAGGACTTCAATTAAATAAACAGCACTGTCTGTGAGGAATGGAGAGCTACTCAGAATCATCAAAGCCAATACTGATTTCTCACTGTTAGCATCTGTTTAGTAACACAGCCAGCAGAGGCAATCATCTGAATTGCTTAAATCATCAACTAAAACTACCCTAGAGATTCGACACGTAGCTTTTACGTTCTTTTTCTACTCCTTCTGTAATTTTTTGCTCAACCTTTTCATTGTCATTTCTTCTGGATTGTCTCATTCGCATACAGCAAGACTTAATTCTGTTTAGAGGAAGTACCAGGCCAATGAGTCACAAAGAGGGCCTGTAATTATGCATCTTGTGCCTTAAACAAGGAGTTCATAAGGAGTAAAGAAAAAGCCAAGAGAGCTGACTCTCTCCTTTGTGAGCCTTGACAATTAGACCCATCCTCTCACTGTACTTTCACTGGACTTATTCTCCTGTTTTCTCCAACACAATAGGCTCAAGACGAAAAGGACAACTCTTTGGCAAATCCACTGCTATTATGACCAGTTAGGGATTAAAACAATGCTGCCCTAAACAACAGTAAGTGGGGCTGGGGCCTTTTGTTCGTTATTCTTTCCAGGTATTGGCTTCAGCCACTGGGCACAGTTACAGAAAATATAATATTTACTATAGTAAATCACGGCTTTAAAACTAAAACATCTGTCTGAACTGGGCTACACCCTGATCATGTCAGAGGCAGACTTTGTGAAATGTCCCCATAAGCTAGCTGATAGATGCCTCTGCATTAGAACCAGGGTTTTAAAAAGTACTGTAATGTACCAAGATGCTTCGAACATATATTATTGCTGTCTGAAGGGGAAAATGTGATGCAGTGGTAATGGGAAACAACAAAAAAGTAGGACATGTTGCACAACATGACACGCCTTCACTTACATGCAGAAATGTATTCCGAACTTTATTATAGATTATAGATGCAAAGCTTTCTTTTCACCACTGGGTAGGAAAATAAGCTGAGATTGGTCACAAAATAATGAGTACCTACAGTACTCCTATTGCCTGATACGAGGCAAACCTGCAGTCGCAGTCTGACTTGGACCGACTGCAATCACTCTCAGAGAGATTGTTGAAGGTTTGCAAATTATTGCTGTCTAATTTATAAATGCAGACAGATTGCCATAAGTTTGAATGAATTTTTGTCACGAAGCACAACTCAAGGGGACTCAACTCAACTGGCTGCCAGCTGGTTGTATTCTGGTTATATTCCTGTAACACAGGAAGGTTACTGAGTGCAAATGTAATAGCTAAATGCAAATTTCTGTCTATATAGACAGCAACAGATTTGTGATTTTTGACAACTTATCGCAGCTAGTTGCTGTATTATCAGAAACACATTGCATGCAATTGCCAACTTGACTCCATTCAACCGCAGACTGATAGCAGACTGCCTCTGTCTTATGGCAGTGACAGTGTCTCATTTTGCAGCTGAAAAATAACTGAACTAATAACTTTATCTTATTAGATAAAACAGATGAGTACATAATTAGCAGTTTTAAAAAGGGGATTGCAATATATGTTATTATAATACTGCATATCACAAAATGTAAAAAATCGCAATAGTATATCGTGAGTGAAGTATTGGGAAAATAGTGTATGGCAGTGTGTCCGGTAAGTACCACTTATATTCCGTACTGTACAATAGTTTGCCTATACCAATAGCCCAAACTCTACTGATCTCTAATTTATTTTGCACTGTGAAAATAACCCTAAACCCCAAAGAATCATAAAGAACAACTATTTCTTCACTAACAAGAATTTTAAAAAAGTCCTGCAACAAAAGGTATGGTCCCAATGGAGCCCTGATCTCTACATCAATCAGCCACTTCAAGATAAAATGAAGAGACAAAAGAAACTAAAAAAATCACAGATCCACTAAAGAATAGTGACTAGGGCCATAATGGATGTTAATGCATTTACTTCTCTTTCAAGTGAACATACTCACTTGAAAGAACCTGGACTAAGAACTGTGCTCCTACTGCTGGTTTTGATGACACTAAAACTATGGGAAGAATAATGAAGGCATGACAGATCCTTCATAACAGAAACCACTACTGCAGGCAGACATTATATGTTCAAGCAAGCCAGCCTCCATTATCACAGAAAACGCGTGCAGTGGAGTTTTTCAAATTTTCTTTTGTTCATTTTCTGCTAACTTAATAATATGGTTACAGAAAAAATAAGTACTATTACAGTAAACCACTTGTTTTATAACAGAAACCTCAACAAAAGTGGTTTGCAAAAGAAAGGTATTTTGTATTCTGGTGAAATTAGCCAAATCAGGTCAGAGAAGACATCAAGCACGCTGATGTCAGCTTGCTGTAACACTTCCAGTATCCCTTTTCAAAATAACCAAAAGTCAAAAACATCTTTAAAAAAATAAAGCTTGAGGACTGTTTCACTCTTGCAAATGTAAATATGGCCTGATTTTAGATCTCACAAACAGAAGGCCACACCAAGTCTTGATTTAACTTCAGTAATCAAATGTGCATGTATTGTACTGTAGCCAAAATGGATCACTGTAAACTATATAAAAGGAAAATAAATTTGACCACATTAAGAGGAATGTAAGCCTACATGTAAGCCCGGCCCATCTCTTTGTCTTAGGAACACATCTGAAGGCAGACATTGTCTTAGACAGCTAAATAATTAGCAGTCTAACACAATGAGCAAACAAATTTATTCTTCTCATTTCTAGGAGTGCTGAGGAGGGAAATGTCTGGGGGGGAATTTATGAAACACTGTTTGAATGCAATTAAGATGCTGCCATGGCTGGTTAGAGAGGGAGGGAACATCATTGTGAAAACCTTGAGAGAAAAGTGGACCACAAAAATTTCTCTCTTACATCACCAAGAGAGAAATATGAGCTATATAATGTCATTTTTGCACATTAAACTTTAAAAACAAAGACAAGCACACCACTAATGATACCAATTAGCAAAGTATAGTTTTAACACATTTGTCTGTAGACAGTCTACACTACTGTCAGACTTGAACAACTCTCAAGTATTTTCAAGCTAGTACTCAAGTTTGAGGGTATAATATCTAAATATGTATAAATAACGACACAATTTTGATGTCATGATAGTCTCGGGAGTACCAATTACTCTCTAATGCAAATGTTCATTTCTATTTTTTCTTTATATATTCAGAATAGATTTTATCATTAGCTGCAGCTGGCTCTGCAGGTGCAGACGTCTTAGACTTCAAATAACTTTATGTGTGCATTATTATAGCACAAAGCACAGTGACATAGGCGCTATGGCAAGGCGCCGAGTCATTAGCGTGTTATAGACGACTCGAATTTTCCTCTAGTTTTTACAAATTAAGTACAAATTCTTCTCCGAGAACTTAGCACTATGTGGACCAACAACTGCGATGTAAAAATGAAGCAATTATTTTATGAAACTGATATCATTGGAGCACTCACTCTTGACAGCTTCGACAGTAGTTTCAACCTTCAACTCTTGTGCTTTGAGCCAATCAGCGACAGCGCAGTGCGTCCTTACGTCACGCAAACCGTGCTTCGCTTTCGTTACGTAAGTTCCAGGGAGGCGGAAGTGTGATGTGGCTTTGATTCCCATTAACAAAAATGGTAAGTTTGTTTTGATAAAGCAGATCTTTTTGATCTTTTGCAGCGTCGTTTAAGCGTTATTTATCGCAAGTATTGGAGATATGACCTGTATCAGCGATAAACTGTGACGGCAGCTTGTGCTTGTAGAACATACAGTAAATGTTAAACTACCGAGCTACTAGTGGTTAGCTGAGTTAGGCTAAAAGTTTAGCAAATCTAGCCACAATGTCACGTTTCCGTTCATGCTATTATACTTTTATTTCATCGAGTGCGCGCACTGATGTGTCATTGGGAGTCGTTTGCTAGAAAAGTCAAGTTATCTCTGATTTTTTAAATACGACGAGTGCCAGCATCGTAGTGTTTTGAGGCGTATGCCACGTAGCTAGACAAGGAGCAGGGACTACTGCCTGCGTGCGTGGGTATTTCGAATTAATACTCGTAAATGAATATGTAACCAATGAAATTAATTATTTCCACAAGGTTTCCATAAAGTAGAATTTTAAAGACGAGCGTTTATTAAGAAGGCCTGTTTACACCAAATAAATGATGAATAATGATGAAATGATGAACCAACAGAAACAGGGAACGTGGTTAATTATATAACATTTCATTTTTAAAAGTCGTAAAATTATGCTTATTTTCTGTAACAACATTACAGTTTGAGCTATTGAGGGATATTATAAATTCAGCAATAGAAGCAGTTCATAATCTGGAAATTACTTTAAGGTATAGACTTTAAATACCCCTGTTTAAATCCTATGTTAGTTCTTAAATGTACTTGTAAACTCATCATGCTCAGAGTCCCTTGTCGCTTGCAGAGTCCCTTGGTTGCTTTGGAGTGCCATAAGATTAAGACAGTTATAAATTAATAACAAAGTCCTTCCTTTAGATTTACATTTGATTTGATCATAAGTGCACATGCATTGTAAAATGAGGTGCACATGGTAAATATTGCCATTCACATTGCGAAAGACTGGCCAATATGATCAGCAGTTTTTCCATTTAGTTTCTCATCCTGCAGATGAACGCAAATTCCGGTCTTGATTCTTGCAGCTGCACTACCAATCTGGTCTGTGAGCTAGCTAATATGAAAGGCTTGGACTAGCTGGTTAGCACCAACTGAACAAAAGAGTGAGCCGTTGTTCTCTTGTAACTCAGTGGTAGATAAAGTTATTTCAAATGGTTGAATACAAAGATCAAAATTACTGGCGATATATAAGGTGAAGATTACTGGATAATTACTGTGTGGGTGTTTAATAAACCAGATTCAATTCCAAAACACTGTGTTTCTTAGATTAGGATGTGGACATTTGCTTTTCTGTCAGAACGTGGAAACAGCACAGGTGCTACAAAATAAATGAGTTGCAGTTTACTGGTGAGTTATGAACAAATACATAAATATTGATCGACCTTGCTTTTTTTTTCCAGGGAAAAATAATCAGGCTTGCTTCCACTAGTTAACCTTTCTAATCTATCTAGGCCAATCTCCAAGTACAATAACTAATGTTTACAAGCTACTACAAAAATAGTAACATTAAACATTTGTCCACCATGTTTCTTCTCAACTCAACCCAACTCACCAAGCCATGCATTAGAATTTTTGTTGACTTTTTGAAGTGTTGCTCTTATCATTTTCCCAGTTGTGTTCTAGTCTTTACAGTTATTCCAACATCCACTGAATGCACTACAAATTAACCTGTACTCCGGAGTAGTAAATTAATGTTTTTTATTTAATTGCTTAAATTGTTGCTTTAATGGTACAGTGTTCTGTAGAAGGCTAAAGGCTCTTTTGCAGTAGCAAATAAAATCACTTAGTATCTGAAACTAAATTTGATTCATAACTCGACCGTCTTTCAATTCTTACATCGGTGCAACGATCTGTGCAGATATCTGAGTGCCTTTCAAAACGTTGTGACAGTGTGGATTTTTCAACTATGTCTACAAGTGCACCAACTGTAAATGTTCCCTCCAAGCAGACAAAAAAATGGTAGGATAAGAGCACTCATGTGTCCCTGGTGTCCACAGCTGTCCATAGCACTGTCTGTGTGGTCTACAAGGTTTCATGTATTGACTGCCAATTCTTCAACATTTTTGACAAAAAGTGTGATCAGCAAGAAGAAGTGGGTTGGCTCACAGGTTGTGTATGAGAAAAATACAGTCTCTGGGAAGCTAATTTTGTTTTCTCCCCATTTATGTTGGACTGTGGGCTCGGTATATTCACTGACTGTTCGATCTATATGTGTGGTAGAACACTGTAGTAGCTATTGCTTTAATGCAACAGTTAATTATTCTCATAAGTGGCATGTCTGTTTCTAGTTTTGTTATTCATCTTTGTAATGTCTAAAGCAGTTTCCAAGTGAAAATCTTAAGTGTTACACCTTTTGATGATAAGGACCAACTGAGTCCATTTGGACTTTGGTCTTCATTTTGGCAAATCAGAGTACTGTATAAGATATTGATTGTGAGGGAGGTCATAATACCTTTATGGCACGTAGTTGATTTTGTAAGTAAGTCTCCATATGCACTTTCACTGTGTAATTCTGAATAGGAGATTATGAAAAAACAGATTTTAAGTTGAGTTTTTGACAATATAATAACTCTGAAGCGTTCTGCACAGTCAGTCAGCACCAAAGTGAACAGCTGGCACAACAGCTATCTTCTCTGCACGTAGCTGAAGATCAGTATTACAGAAAACTGTCACGAGTTCACTTTTTTTAAATTGTTATGACATATTGTATTATGTCTGTACTAAATGTATCATTCTCTTTCATCTTGCAGTCAGCCATTTTCAACTTCCAGTCACTGCTAACTGTGATTCTCCTCCTGATCTGTACCTGTGCCTACATCAGAGCAATGGCCCCCAGCCTGCTGGACAAGAATAAGACCGGGTAAGATGGGCTACTTAAAAATTGCCACTGACATGATTAATTGGCTTCCCAACTTTGTCTTTTTGAGCAGTATAAATGATCAAAATGACTAAATCATTCATCGTTTCTAAGTTTATTATCAGCAATAATGGCAAATTGCTTGATCACTCTTCATTTCACTATGTAATAATTCAGGATGGTAATCTGTATGTAAAGTATATTATTGTGATTCTATAACATTATAGATCATCTTACAATAAATTAAAGGTAAGGTTAAAACAGTAAATTTCAGTCTAATGCTTTCAGAATAGATGGAGAAATTCACATGCATATGACAACAGTTAAAATGGAGCCTTGGAGCAGTGTAGAACAATGAAAATTCAAATCTAATGATTCTGCAAGTTTAATCAGTGCTTGCTGAAGTATATCTACACAGCAGTCACTTACAATGTTTCTGCTGGTAAAAACAGGAAAACTGTGGCTGGAGACAAAAGTTATTGCGACCAAATGCCATGAATTTGCAAACTCATTATCTTTGAAATCAGAGTCAGTCTGCTGTCAGCTTGCAATTAAATGAGATCAAGTTGCCTATTTACATGCTGTGTCTGTGATAATACAGCAATGAATAGTGATACATAGTTGTAAATTGCAAATCTGTGATCTACACACATATAAATTCATATTTTCTTCTTGGATTCAGATTCTAGCCTGAAACCCATTAACAAAAATTCAGAAATTCCTCCACAAATACTGATGTAGTTGCAGCAGGTCTGCGATTAAACTGCAGATTGCCATAGGTGATCAGCAACCTTGCTATTATATAGGAATATAACTGAGGGCGTTTTCACAACTATCGTTCATTTACTCTGATCCAATCAGTTGATGAGTTTGTAAACTTGTAGCTTTTCCCCGTGGTTTTGGTTTACAGTGAAAAGTCCAAGTGAACTCCAGGCGAACTGCAAACTGTGAAAATATTCAGTCCATTCATTGGCCAGATGTGTCTGGGGCAGGAGCAACAAATTAAATATAGGAGGAAGATGCAGTGTGAGAAAACTGAGAATTTACATTGATTTCTTGGCTAGTTGCTAGACCGTACAGATCTGCACATATATAAAACCTCCCCACATTAAGAATACAAAGAATGCATTGCAAACTAATGTTTTTTAGTTCAAACTTGCAGCATACAGCTGGTGGTTGGTCCAGTTTGGGGTCAGATCACGCTCGCACCATAAACAAACCGCTCTGGTGCTTGTTTGGAAATGCACCGAGACCACCTCCTCCAAAGGGTCTCGGTGTGGTTGTTTTGAATGGCACCCAAGTGCGGTTACTGTCTTCACAACTGCACAAACAAATCTTACCAAGGGGGAAAATGAACCTGAGCTCAATTTAAACAGACTAAACAGCGCAGGTGTTAAAACACCCTAAGACGACCAATTGAGTCAAGCAGCCCATTGCAAAAAGACGTTTCACAGATGAGTTTGCTCATTGCTACAGACTGTGATTGTTTGGAAACAAGTTGCCTCCTACCAGGTGAGCTTTGCAATAGACTTGGAATCAAAAGGTCGGTGGGGTGACCACTTGGATACCACAACTACTCGCAATCAGTTCCAGATTTTTCCTAGTCGCAAGGGGATTGCAGTCCTCGTCTTACTCTGTCCAGACTGAGTAATGGCAGTTGTTGATAGACACACACCACCAATGATAAGTGAACATCCTTTAAGGTTTTGACGTCGTCAGTTTTCGTAATAGAAATTGTGCACTTCAAGTAATTTACGCCTGTATTTTTGCTCATATTAAAATCGTTCTTTTATCAAGTAAGGCTTGTCTGTCAAAAACACTTGGTTAATAAGAAGCTGCTTATTAAAGCCAGTAAAGTAGCAGAAGTAAAGCAGATTTTTATAATTTCAGGATCAACATTATTCTTGGCTGTATAAGTTCTGTAATTCATTTCTAATAAATCTGGCAAATCCCAGAAACAGTTTCACACACATATACACACAGCTTGGAAAAGGGAGGGACATCCTGTTCAGACAAGCACTTGAGACTGAGAATGTCATATGGGATGATTTAATAGTTTTCCCCCTTGATTGATTTGTTGACTGAGGCATGAGACATTATTTGTGTTGATTTGATGCCACACATTTCGCACATAATTCTTGTGTGGTAGGGAAAGGCAAAAAATCTAAGGGGAAAACCATCTCCAAGAAAATATGTGTTTTATAAAGAAAAATAGCAGTACGCTCAAAAACAAATCTTAGCTTCAGGTGTACAAAAAGTAACTGTTATACAGAGACAACTTTGAGGAAAAATTTTTACAATGGGATGCTGACACCATCTGGTGAGAATGAAAGTTTAAAAAGTTTGCTTTAAATGCAGAGACACACTCAGAGCTCTCAAAAGAAGTGAAAATGTCTCATTTGCCTCAGTGCTCAATCCATATGAAATGTCCTGCTGTTCGTCTTTTCCCTCTACGTTGTAAATTCCTCACATGGAACTTGACATCCGATGGCTGCTTGGGTTTTGTGGAGTACCTCTGTTGCTGTATGTGCACATGTCATCACAGGTCTCTTTGAGCTTTTAATATCAGAGTTCCAGTTTGTAATTTTTGTAATTCCTTTACTTTTTAGGCTTCTAGGAATTTTTTGGAAGTGTGCCAGAATAGGTAAGCCTATGACTGCCCCATATAGTTTTTTTTTTTTTTACTTTGTCATATTGTTTTTCATACATGCATACAGAAATGTTTAATGACAAAGCCTAAACACTGCATTCATTTCTCCAGGTGAGCGGAAGAGTCCGTGGGTGGCCTGCTGCTGTGTCATCATGGCTTTTAGTATACTGTTCCTACAGTAGCAATCTAAAGAAACCCACTAATGGAAACATTGGAGAAATGGAGAAACAAGAAGACATGGACAGGATGATCCTAGAAGCACAATAAGACCTCCTTTGATTATCAGTTAGATAATGTAAAAAGAGAGACCTGACATCACGTACTGAGTCACGGAGAGACCGTGTATGGAGGAGGGGGTTAGCTGATAGCATTTGTGTGAATCCCTCCACAGACTTCCAGGTCTGTACGTTTAAGTGTGTGTGTCTGGGAGGAACAAGTGTACCGCTTTTCTGTTATCTGCTATTTGTGGGATCAAATGATACAGTTTGTCTAAACATTTCAAACAGATTTTTTTTCCATCATTTTTTGTCACTATAAGGAGCTGATTAATCTGTTTGAAATTCTTCACAAAGAGGACCCCAATAAATGTTTAATCTGTTAAGGGATTTACATGCTGACTTATATTTGTTACCTTCCTGTTTGTTGTGTTGAAAATGGTGGGTACAGCAAACAAAATGGTATTAAAGCTCTTCAGGTGTCTAGTTGTCCTACATTTTTGCCTCAAAGAGCTACTGATGTTTTTAATGTCAGTTGGTTTGCAGCTATTTATTAAAGTCCCTTTTTTGGAAGTGTGGTTTTAAGTTTTTATTTTTTAACAAAGCTTATGATTCATGTTTTCTGCCACATTGTACAAAGTGTCAGTAATTATTATGACTTCAAACATGGTAAATACACGTTGATGATAGATTTGTGTCATTCTTTACTATTTAAGTACTTATCTATAAACATGCAGGAATCTTCTTAGAGCTGTTTAGATGGTCAAGAGTTTGTGATAACCTCTTAAACTTTGCAGTGAACACGCGTCTTGGCAAGGTTTTGTGCAAAAAAGCTGGAAAGCTTTGGTTTCATTCATACTAAGAAAACCTTAAAAAGTTCTGCTTTAAAAATCTGGAGAAAATTTAGTAGCCTCTGAAACAGATCCAGAATATGTTAGAAAAGTTACAACTATGTGTGATTGCTTATTTAGACAAATTCTGGTAATTTCATCTTTGAACTGTGTACAAGATAAATTGCATGAAACCAAAATTCCACATGTGACCACATCATAAAACTGCCTGCAACAGGCTTAAATTATACAGTCCTTATGAAAAAGCCTTGACAAGTTTTGTCAGCCACAGAATTTGACCAATTGGTGAAATCCTAAGAAATGCTGGCCTGGTATTGTTTCAGGAAATAGTACAACTGCATTGTGGGTTTCTCATGAAAAAATGAAGGGGGGGTTAAAGTTACACATTTCCTCCCTGTTTATGGGTACAGAGGATGAGACTAAAGAAGAACACTTGTAGTCACACACCCCCTTGATGATCCATCCAGATCCAGACTCCCCGTTAGAGAACATAGATCCTATATTGGTGTGCAACCATTTTAGCTCTCCTCGGTTGAGATAAAGCATCAAGCCTTCTGGTAAATTTGTAATTATCAGGCCATGACGCAGATAGAGCAGACACAGCTGAGCAGTCCTCCATTTCTATTTGGGGGAACAGAGATACTGGTACGCTGGAAGGATATCACTGGGTCAATGAACTGAGCTAATGTCTTGGGTGATGATGAAAGGAAGACACTATGGAAGAACTGATGCTCCTTGCTTCAGCTGACGATAGGAGCTGTTATCACTGGTTCAATTACATGTAAGAAATAACTCATAAACTGGCGGTAGGCAGCTGCATACTGCTCTGGTAGGGTAATTTGGGGACAAAAATCAAACTAAACATATAATTGTTCTTTTCTTTTTGGGTCAAGATCATTATTCCTAATCTCCCATAAGCTATGGAGACATTTGCCAAGCAATGAGCAATGAACATCTGGCAGAAGTGCAGTGAATTGATGCCTAAAAAAACTTTAGGACTTCGCTCACTTAATGCATGCTCTAATTTTTCTGTTTGAATTGGCTGATCAGGATTGATTAAAGGGGATGCCAAATGGCAAAGGGCACAAAAATAGTCATGTTTTTATGTCAGAATTCTGTTTTAAATGTCATATGCTGAGCATCATTACCTCTATCCTTAAAAGTTATGTTTATTTCTCGGCTCCACCAGCCACGGCATGGCAACCAAACAGTCTAAACTAACTGTGCTTAACAATGTGAAGCAAACTCCTTTAACTGACTGCTAAATAAAATGTGATGTTATGGTGACATCATAAAGCATCTCTGTCTGCCATGTGAACAGAAGAAGAAAAAAAAGATCCAAGTATTGATTCCCTCATGATTTGATATATCACTGTTCTAATTACAAAAAAATAAAGCTTTTACTATAAAAGGCCAGGATAGTGAATTCAAAGTGAGACTGCAAATGTCAGACATCTTTTTTTAGCATTTAAACAATAACAATTTTTGGGAGCTGATTCTACTTTTCAAAAGGCACCTTGTATCTATTTACAGTGTCAGAACTGAACGGATAAACTTTTAACTCGTGCCCTCAGTATTTAAACAATCCTAGTTACAGACCTGCTATTTATGTATATCCTATACAAAGTTACAGTTGTGGTCAGAAGTTTACATTCACTCTTCATGGGCATGAATGTCGTGGTAATTTCGGGGTTGTAATGATTTCTTTGAACTGCTTTTTTTATAGGGTGGAATGATTGTAATCACACATCTTTCATGACTTTGGTATACAAGTTTGGATTTACATTAGATTTTCTCTAATTTACACAGGGTCAAAAGTTTAGATACAGACTCACTCACTTAAATCTTTTAATAAATGATGCTGAAGGTTCTATTAAGAGTGTTATTTTGACAAAGGCAAGGCATATTAACTTCACATTGGTGATCATGATTTATTACAACTGGTGCTTTCTGTTTGCCAGCACAAAAGTGATTTGTTTTGACGGTACTAAGAACAATGGGAAAGTCCAAGGAAGTTGATATAAGAAGAAGAAACGTGTATTTTACAAGTTGGGAGGATATCTTGGTGCCATTTGTTAATGACAGGGTATTTCAAGATCATCAGTTTAAACAATGATGTGTAAGTATAAGTTATTCAGACCTAAACTGTCACCCTCCCATGACAAGAAATTCGTTAGGATGTCCAGAAACAACCCAGGAACCACCAAGGCTCAAACATGCTGTAAACTACTTCACTGTAGACAGCGTCACTGTCTACAGTGAAGCGAGTTTTACATCACTATGGACTGAGAGGGCGCTGACCAACAAAGAACTTTTTACTGGTCAGATGAGATTGAGCTATTTGGCCACAATAACAAAAAGTATGCTCAGAGGAGTAACAGGAAGGCTTTCAGAACACTATACCAGCTTTAAAGCACAGTGGTGGTAGCATCATGCTCTGTGGCTGTTTTGCTGCCACTGATGCTGGTACATTGCAAAAAGTGGATAGAATAGTGAAGAACGAAGTCTACTACCAAATACTTCAACTTCATCTCAAATTAACAGCTAGACAGTTGAAACTTGGACACAGTTGGATGTTCCAGTAAGACAGTGACCCAAGACACACATCAAAACTGGTCATAGAATGGATAAAGCAGGCTAACATTAACCTTCTGGAATGGCCTTCCCAAAGCCCCGAGCTCAGCACTATTGAGAATTTGTGGACTATGCTTAAAAGTGGGGTCTGTGCCAGAAAACCAACCAATTTAAATAAACTGTATCAATGCTTTCATAAACAGTGGTCAAATATCCAACCAGACTTATGCCAGAAGCTTGTTGATGTCTACCAAAAGCATCTGGTTACTGTGCAATTTACTAAGTGACGTTTATCCAAATATTAGTCTGGGTGTATGTATATATTTGAGCCTGTGTGGATTACAGAAAAACCTCATTCAAGCTTTTTGGACCCAATTCTTGCTTTTTAAAGTCATCTAAGATGTATCCAGTACAATCAGTCCACTCCAAAAAAAAAAAAGAACAGTTCAAAGAAATCACTGCAAGCCTAAATTTACCATAACATTCATACCTATTATTATCGTATCTTAACTACACTTGCATATTAACTTTTTAAAAGATATTTAACATTTGTAAACTAGCAGAGTTAGAGGAGTAGCCAGAGACATGTATTGAAAGGCCATTAAATTTAGATATCTATTCCAAAATACCAATACAGTCCTAATGTTTCATACCCCCTTCTACCTTTCAATGGAAATGAAGTTAAAATGAAATAGAACTCACTGATTTCTGGTTTTGCTCGTTTGTTTGTTTGGTGAGGTATTTTTTTTTATTATAATGTTTCTGGGCAATGTAAAATTCATATTAATATACCATTGTGTTTTCTAGAATTTTCCCTCAAGAGAATTTTGTAATAGTTCACATCATAAGTACTTTTTTGACATCATTAGTCAACAAGGAGAATATTCAAAGCATATTACTCTAATTTTGTTGCCTCTGTCCTCCTTTGATCATATTGGAGAGGTTCTTGCTGTCATTTTGTGGACTTCAAAGGCAATCAGGCCGTTAAAGTCTTTGCCATCTCCTGCTGAGCAAACCAGAAGTGTCCAAACAGACCTTGACCCTTAAAATCTTCAGTGGAGCCTGTTTGAATCAGTTCTGTAAAGGAAGGTAAAGATGAATGGAGAGAAAGAAAGCTGCACAGAAGATGGCCGGAGGGTGAGAATGTCAGCAAGATAATGACAGGGAGAAAAGGAGGGAAACATTCACGAGTAGTGGATTATTCCTTATTGGTGTATCTCTGTGATCAGTCTCCCTTTGGCCCTATATTTTCTTTCTTGATTATATATCTAAAAACCTGAGGCTTCTTGGTTTACTGATACCTACGGGGGTAATTTCTCTCTTGTGGCTGCTTCTAGCTGGAGACACACAACCAAACTTTTAGACATAAAGGATTACAAAGGCTTCATTATTATGATTAAAAATGCTTGACATCACATTCTTTTTATAAACCCTTTGTTCTGTCCTCACTTCTTCATTAGAAAGATCCAAACTGTTTTCTGCCCACGAGAGCACAAATGACAAGTAAACGACTTTGGTAGCTAAAGGACACCAATATCCTCTAAGTAGGGCAAGTCTGGGTCAGTCACCTGCCTGATGACAATTTGTGTGAATGATCCCATTGTGGACGCTGGATGTTTTAATCAGACTTGACTTGAAACTTTATTTTATGTAGAGTCAATATTTTTAATCACTCTAACATCTTCCACATGCAGTCATTTTTACCAGAAATGCTATAAGGAAAATTTTTAACTCACTCCTGTGGCCACTGTGTCCAGTATGTATCTTCTTTGAAGGTGGCACCGTTTCTTCATTGGGACATCTCAGCCTGGCTTGTTAACCTGCAGCAGGAGGAGTCTCTGCACACCAAGGCAGTTCCACAGATCTGGAAAGCCCAACATCTTTGGCTGAGTTAATAATGACATGAAGTAAACATTCACTGAAAAGTAACTTCATAACCAGCCAAATGAAACAACAGGAGTTTGGAGGTTTACAGTGTGGTTTTGACCACTTGTGTCCACATTTTGATTAAAGTGTTCCCATTTGCAGTGATACTGGCTCACTTGAGTGAATCTTTGCATATTAATATAAAGTGGAAACACTGGAAATGATATGTAGCCATTTAGACCAGTTATTTACACAGTTATATATACATACCTATACATTACT